ACATTGAACATATTTTGCGTAGTTATCTTCCGCCCTGATGTTGCTCCCCGCGGGCGGCTTCAGAACAATCCCCCGCGGACAATTAATCTTGTCAAAGGTGCCATACAATTCGCATAGCCCCCGATCATAGGCAGAAGCTGGGTGTGGTAGTTGTCTTCGTGTTCGGTCTCGTTCCGGCTCAACGCATTGTGTTGGCGGGGTGATGGGGTGGGCGGGGTGGTGGGCGGCAGGGGGCGCGCCAGCGGGCGGGTGGGCGCGGGCGCGAGACACCCAGCTCTGCTTCGGGCCAAAGAGGCGGGATGGACGAGACAGTGTTTGAGCTGTCGGCAGCGGACCTGGGGCAGGACCCCAACGAGGTGTTCCAGAAAGTGGAGAAGCTTGGAGAAGGGTATGTACATGGGGTGGAGGAGATGGTGGTGGTGGTGGTGGTGGTGGTGGGAGGGGGAGGAGGAGGAGCATGCGTGGCAGTTTTTTGCGGTGATGAAGGGCTTCTTATCGGTTGGTGGGGGTGGGGGGGGGAGAGTGGAGGGGGGGAGAGTGGAGGGGAGGAAGGGAGGGAGGAGGAAGGGAGGGTGGAGGAGGGGGAGGCAGGCGGGGAGGCAGGCGGGGAGGTAGGCGGGGAGGAGGAGGGAGCGGGGAGGAGGAGGGCGGGGCAGAGCGGGCGGGTGGCGGGGCGGGTGGAATTGGTGGGCCGAGGACGGGGGGACAGCCGGCGGGTGGGATGGGAGCAGGAGGGGGGGGAAGGAGGGCAGGCGGGCGGACGGGTTACTGACCAAGACGCAATGTGTGGTGCGGGGCGGACAGATCGTATGGGTCTGTGTACAAGGCCATGCACGTGCGGACGGGCAAGATTGTGGCGATCAAGGAGGTTGCGATGGAGGACGACCTGGACGAGATCATCATTGAGATCAACATCATGAAGCAGCTGTCTGACCCGTACATTGTCAACTACTTTGGCAACTACCTGCTTGCTAACGAGCTGTGGATCATCATGGAGTACTGTGGGTCCGGGTCTGTGGCGGATTTGATGTCTGTGTGCAAGGAGTGCCTCACGGAGGAGCAGATCGGGTGCATTATGGCGGACACGCTCAAGGGCCTCGAGTACCTGCACAAGAACAACAAGATCCATCGCGACATCAAGGCGGGCAACATCTTGATCAATGACCAGGGCCTGGCCAAGCTTGCAGACTTTGGGGTCTCCGGGCAGCTGAAGGACGACGACGCGAAGCGGAACACCGTGATCGGCACGCCGTACTGGATGGCACCCGAGGTGATCCAGGAGATTGGCTACTCGACCGGGGTGGACATCTGGTCGCTCGGCATTACGTGCATCGAGATGGCGGACTCACGGCCGCCACTGTGCAACATTCACCCAATGCGGGCCATTTTCATGATCCCGCAGCGCCCGTCGCCGACGCTGACGTCGCCGGACGAGTGGTCGGACGAGTTCAACGACTTTATTGCGTCGTGTCTTGTCAAGGAGGCCGCGGACCGGCCGACAGCGACCCAGCTCCTCAAGCACGCCTTTGTCAACAAGAAGCACTCGCGCTCGTCGCTGTTGGAGATGATGGAGCGCGCGTCGACCATCATCGAGGAGAAGGGCCGCAACTTTGAGTCGGACGACGAAGAGGCGTCCGAGGAAGACGACGACGACGATGACTACACCGGGACCATGGCCCGCGTCGACGCGCCCGACGACGGCACCATGGTCCGCGCCTCGGCCGATTCCTCGGCTCCGGACAAGATCACGCCCGAGTACCTCGTCAAGATCACCTCGCGGAAGCAGGCTGACATCCTCAACTCGATGCCACTCGACTCGCTCAAGGCTCTGCTTACCCAGATCGACGCGTCAATGACCCGCGAGGTGGCCGCCATCAACCAGAAGTACGAGAAGAAGAAGGCGCCCATCCTGACAGTGCTCGAGGCCAAGACGGCCGAGTCGTAAAAAACCATCACCCCACCGGCCTAGTGCACACTACTTGGCCGCATCACCCTCGAGCTTGAGAAGGAGCTGCGAGACGCGCTCGTAGACAGCAAAGGTGACGCAGGCGCCGGGCATGACGCGGAGGACGGTCGGGACGAGGCCCTTGTACAGGCCAGACACGCCCTCAGAGGCAATGATGGAGCGAAAGGCGTGGAGCGCCGACGTGTAGCGGCGGGCAGTGCGGTCGACCTCGGTTTGGATTTGGAGGCGGGCGCGAATGACTTGGTATGGGTACGAGACGATCGAGGCAAACATCTTGGAGAGCGCACCAACCGCCAACGCCTCGTAAGTTGAGAGATCGCGGGCCGAGTGGGTCGAGGAGACGTCAACGGCGTCAGAGAGCATCCAGCGTGGTAGCAGCCGGATCTTGGCGTCGTAGAGCGGCGAGTAGAGGAGCAGCTTCTTGAGCTCCTCATAGGCCATAAACTGAAAGGCGCCGTGCGAGACGCCGATGAGTGACGGGCCGAGGCCGCGGTACAGTCCGCGGATGCCCTCCTCGCCCGCAATGGTTCGGATGGCGTGGACGACACCGCGGTACTGCCGCGCCGTCGGATCGTCGAGCTGCAGCTGCATCCGCGTCTTGACCAGCCAGATCGGGTTGGTCACCAGGCATGTGGCCAGCCCGGCCGCCGTCGCCGCGCCCATGTGCCACCCGGGCCCGAGCGGCGTACCCGGCGCCAGGCCGCGCTCTTCACGGATCGCCTCCTTCAAGCGGGTGTACGAGAGAAAGTATAGGCCCCACGCCATGCCCGAGCCCACTAAGTTCGGCGAGAGGCCCGAGTACAGACCGCGGAGGCCGTGCTTGCGTGAGATCTGCACCAGCGCTGCAACCGGCCGCCGAGGGGATGTGGGGAGAGGTGAGTCGGGCGCGGAGCCGCGCGATGCGATGCTGCTCGCAGGGGATGGGAGGGGAGGGGAGAGGAAGCAGAGGGTACATACCGTCCCATGTCGATGCGTAGCGCGGGTACTTGCATCCGGCGGTGCCGTCGTGGACTGCGGGGTGGGGAGGGGCGTGAGTGGCAGGCGGCGGGCAAACGCGGCATGGATCCCTCCTGGCAGAGGAGACGGAGGGGGAGGGGGGAGGGGGCGGGGAAGGGGAGGGGTGGGGGGGAGACGAGGGGAAGGAGGGGGCTGGGCTGGGCGGATGGGCGGATGGGCGTACCTTGGAACTTGGTCTTGACCAGGTCGAGCGGGTAGGTGGACATGGTGGCGGACATGCCGGCCACCACGCCGGCCACCGCATGGATCGGCGCCTTAGTCTCGCTCGCCATACGAGTGCAGTGTACTGTGTCCGGCGCAGGCGCAGGCGCAGGGATGGCCAACCACCAGGCGCAGGGATGGCCAACCACCAGTCGGCCTGTTGGGTATGTGTGTGTGGGGGGGGAGAGAGAGACTTTACGATCCAGTGGAGGTGGGAGGGTGCGGTGCGATGCGATGGGTCGCGCGGGCGGCGTGTGGGCGGGCGGTAGTGCAGGTGCGCAGTGCCCGTGACCGGGGGGCGATGAAAGGGGGTGGGGGGTGGGAGGAGGGCGGGGCGGCTATGTGGGCGCCGGATCGGTGCCGCGGAGGACTTCCAGCGAGTCTGGAAGGATGAGCGAGGGCTGAGCAGGCGGGGCGGCGCCGACAACGTTGATGCCAAAGGTGGGTAGGCCGTGGGCGTGGGTGACAAGCAGGTCGGCGGCGGCGTCGAGGCGGGCAGAGCGGGCGGCGGACGCCTCCTCAAAGGCGGCCAGACGCTCGGCATCGACGGTGCGCATGGCAGCGATGCGCGGATCGTCGTCGATGGCGCCTGCGGCGACGCCGCGCGCCGAGCGCGGCGCCTCGTGCGGGGCCCGCTCAAAGGCGGCGGTGGCGACAAAGGCATCCGTGTCAAGCACCGCCTCGCCCTCGCCCTGCACGCCCACCACGGAGCGCGAGTACGTCGGCAGGTCACCGACTCTACGGACTGTGCGTGGGGGGATGGGGGGGGGGGTGAGGGAGGGTGAGGGGGTAACGGTCAGGGAGGGAGGGGACCTGGGGAGGGCGTACTGTGCAGCTCACCGTCGTCGGTGAAGCCCGAAAGCATCTCGCGAGGAGGGATGTGGTCGTCCATGTGTGTGTGAGCGGGGGAGGGGGGTGGGTGGGGGGGGGTTGGTGGTTGGTTGGGGGTGGGGGGGGTGGAGTGGGGTGGCCTGGTCAGGCAGGTGGGTGGCAGGCGGCGGCAGGCGGCGGGTGGGCAGCGGCGGGCGGCACGCGACGGGTTGGCGTTACGACAGCGCCATTGGTCTGGTGAGAGGTGGTAGTGGTAGGCGGCCAAGTACTCAGCCGGGGACCCACTTGTCGCCGACAGCAGAGAAGACTTTTGCAACGTGACCATGATGACGTCTAACCGCGTGGTGCAGGCGTTGGCCGTGCTGGTGGTGGTGCTCGGGTGTGTGGCGGCGGCGGCGGCGGCGGTGCCGTACTGCGGGATCGCGCCGGGGGCGACAGCCGGCGAGTACGGGAGCCTCGAGGGCTCGCGGAGCCTGCTGGCGGCGGCAGCGGGGAAGCTTGTCCACGTCGATGCGGTGTTCCGGCATGGCGACCGGACGCCGGCCAATGCGGCGCAGTGCTGGCCGAACGACACGGCGGTGTGGGAGTGCGAGCTGGCTCAGGCTGTCCAGGCCTCACGCAGCATGGCCGCACCCGCCGCGTCGTACGGCGCGCTCTTCCGCATCGCGCCGGTTCCGGGCAAGATGTTCTTTCCAGGCAACTGCGCTGTCGGCCAGCTGACGACCCAGGGCTACGAGCAGCACCTCGCCAACGGCGCTGCCTTCCGTGCCGCCTACGTCGCCGGCGCCGGCCTTCTCCCGACCGCCTTTGACCCGACAACCGTCCACATCGAGACCGACACCTCGATCCGGGTCCAGATGTCGGCTCAGGCCTTCATTTCGGGCATGTACCCAGATCAGCTTGGCCCGAACGCTGCCGGCTCCACCGCTAGCCTGCCGCTGGTCAACATCGCCGTCCGCGACTCAGCCACTCAGATTGTCTGCCCCAACCCGGCCGTCTGCCCCGCACTCGCCTCGATCGCCGCGGACTTTGCAAAGTCCAAGGTCCTCGCTAACTTTACCGAGACTGTGGTCAAGCCTGTGAGCGACAAGCTTGCCGCCGCATTTGGCGAGAAGGACGGCGACGTCTCGCTCGGCGTCACCTTTGACTGCATGCACGCCCACGAGTGCCACGGCTTCCCGCTCCCCCCGAGCGTCCCGTCGTCGCTCTGGGCTGACCTCTCCAACGCCGCTATTGGCATGCTCGGCCTCACCTACAGCTTCCCGTCGCGGACTGAGTTTGGCTCCAACGCCATGGGTCCCATGATCGGCCAGGTCGTCGCCGACCTGCAGACCGCCGTCGCCGGCTCCTCCCCAGTCAAGATGCACATGTACGGGACCCACGACACGTGCATTATGCCTCTACTTGCCGCCCTTGGCCTCTACGGCGACGAGTGGTGCCCCTACGCCGGCATCGTCGCCTTTGAGCTGTACGCCGTCGACAAGGCCGTTGCCTCGCCCGCTGCTGCTGCCCTCCTTGGCGATGACACCCACGCCGTTCGCCTCCTCCGCTACGGCTCCGAGGTCACGATCCCCGGCTGCCCGGACGTTCTCTGCCCGTGGTCGACCTTTGTCAACGTCCTCTCGCCGCTTGTCCCGTCGCCCAAGCAGTGCCACCTTGTTCACGGCTGAAGCTCCCCTGAATGGGGTGTCTTTTCACTGCAGATCGCGCCGTGATCCACACTAATGAACGTCTTTCCATGTTCAATCCTGTTTTCCTGTGTAGCCAGGAGTCGACCAAATACGACCGGTCGCCAAAATTGCGTTCTGAGACCGTTCCAGGAACGCTATCACATGCGCTCAGTGAGCGCGATGCAGGCTGCCCCCAGACCACTCGCGAAATTCGTCCCCTCAGTGCGATGTGGGGCGCTCCCCGTCTGCAGGCTGCATTGTTGCCGAGGGATGCACCCTCGTGGTGTACAGGGCCAGTGATGGGCCCTGTAGTAGGCCGCAGAAGTCGATGAGTGTGGAACAGGCACTTTCTCGATAACGCAGCAACATTTACACTATAGTTTATATAAAAACAAATGCGTAAAATTATGTATATATAGTCTACAATGTAAATTATATATTAATCGCAATTCATTCGAAATTTTATGTATTTGTATTTTTATTTCCAAAATTGGGTCAATTCTGGTCCTTTTTATTGCTATTTCGACTGTCGTCACCCCCCATCCAGATAGACACCTGCCACACGTCATCGCTCCCACTCACATGCACGTCACGCATACTAATGTGTAGCCTACATTCACACCGACAGGTTCATGTGAATCATATTCTTTGTAGCGTCTTTAATCGCCCGAATTTCAGTGTTTCGGTCGTACCCGCAGTCGCCAGTCACTGATACTCAGCTCACACGCCACGCCACGCCACGCCACGCCTTGGCCCACCTCACCCACACCCGCCACCTCCTCCCTTGCCCACACCACACCCCTCCCCTCGCTTCCCGTCTCCAGAATGCCCACGTCGGCCAACCTCATATGGGACAGGGTGACGTCGGCGGTCGAGATCCTGTACTTTGTCTCGGGCGTCTTCCTCGCCGCCACCCTCGCCTACTACGTCTGGCTCAACCGGCGCTACACCTCGCCCACCGTAGTTGGTACGTTCTCCCTCGCCTCCTCCCGCCTCGCCTCTCTGGCCTGCTTGCAACTCACCGTCTCTTTTACCGTCTCTAGCTTGCTTCGCGGTCCTCGCCGCCACCATTGCATACCAACTCCTCGGCGGAGGCGCCTGAGGTAGCGCGCAACTTGGCGAGCTTCGCCCGCATCTGGTCCATCTCGGCCTGGAAGCTGATGCTCACCCGCAGCGCGGCGGTGGCCCTGTCGCGGGCGTCGCGTTCAAGCTCGGCAACCCGCGCGCGGAGCGTCTCGAGCTCAGCCTGCGCCGCAGCGTTGGCGTTTTGGACGCTGCTCTGCGGCGAGGGCGGCAAGTCCGCCATCGAGACCATTAGCGACTGCCACCGCGCGCCAGTGGTGGCGCCGGCGCGGACTGCCGGTGTGGCCTTGCCCTCGGGGCGCCCGAGCCCGAGAATGTGGAAGATCCTCCAGTTGCGCGCCCGGATCGACGGGACGAGCCGCAGAAACGGAAGGATGGCGACAAGGCCGTAGATGGCAAACGTGGCGAGCGCGTTGTACACCGCCACGTTGTTGAGCACCTCGGGTATGCCCTCGAGCTTGTACTCGCTTGCCGACGACGCCTGATACACCCGCAGCGCCGACTGGGTGACAAGGAACGAGAAAATGACCGAGCAGAGGCCCACAATCTCCGCCAAGTTGCCGAGTGACGTCGAGTACGGCGCGTACCAGCCCTGGATGGCGAGTGAAATGGTGAGCACTACCGTGACCCCGATCGACGAGAGCGACGCTGTTGCCGAGCCCGCTACCGCCAGCGCAAGCAGCGCTCGACGCACGGTCAGCACCTTCTCGAACCACCACGCTCCTCGGCGGAACGACTCGAACAGAATCGAGTACTGCAGCCGCACCGCGCCATGCCGCAGCTCACCGCCGCGATGGTGCGCGTTGAGCAGGTGGAAGACCCACACAAAGCCGGCCACGTACACCACCATCAGCAGCGAGCCCGGAATGTACATTGAAAAGTACTCGTGCGAGTTAAAGCATCGGATCCACGGAACAGTCGTCATGTAGCTGATCGACTGCTGCTTGCCCTGCTCCAGCGGCGTGTTGTCGCGCGAGCACGCGTACAGCTCAAAGTACGTCGACATGACCGGGAAGAACATGATGTACCCGGTGAGGACCACAACTGCAAACAGAACCTGTCCGGCGGTCCTAACACGGACCGCAAAGAGCTTGTGCGCCACAGCCACGCGGACTGCCCCGTCGTCCGAGCTCTTGACCGATGCCACCATTCGGATCTTGCACAACCACTGGTACACCACCCAGACCCCAAATAGAACCGAGATCGCAACCACAAGGCCGAGTGGGAGGAGCATGACAATAAGAAACATATCCTGGTATGTCAGCGATGGATGCTGGCACACCAGCGGCGCCACAGACACCAGCAGCTTGTTGAGCGCCACAATGAACGAGCCCCACTTTGGCCAGACCACAAGTCCATTGGTTACCGCCGCAAGCGTCTGAAAGTAGACCACGAACGACTTGAAGACGCCTGACGCGACGGCAAGCGCCTCGCGCACGTCGCGCACCGGAGTCTCGCCCAGAAACCCGCCCACGGCATCGCGGTCGTCCTGACCGTCAGAGTGCGCGCGCGCGAGCAGCGCAGTTCGCTCGTTGCGGCCGTCACCACGCCCACTCCCGCCCTCGTCCGGCGGCAGCGACTTTCGCAGCAGCGAGTACACGACATAGTACGTCGTCGCAAAGAGTGCAAGCATTGTCTCTACCCACGATGGCTCCACAAAGGCGACTGCCACGCAGAAAGAGACATAGAGCGAGGTAACCTGGATGAGCTCGCCACGATACGCGGTCAGAAACTCGCGCAACGTCCGCTGCTCGTGAAAGTGCTCCCGGATCCGCTGCATCTGTGGCGACGGGTCCCGAGTCCGGATGAGGATGGCCAGGCCCATAAAGATGAAGAAGAAGATCAAGCCAAAGACTAGCGTCCATGGCGACGAGATGAGCCCTGTACACTGCCGGCAGCCGACAGCAGTCCGGAAAAAGCCGGTCTCGCACTTGCCGCACAGCCGCTCCGAGTGGCCCCACCGACAGACCTCATCCACAGGCTTGCATGAAAACTTGGACAGCGTCTCCCCGTTCTCGCCTCTCACAATGTTTGGCGTGCACTCGAGCCGACCCGCAGGATTGCACGCAATCTGATCAGCTGGCACAGGCAGCGAGGTACATCGGATGAGCAACACCGCCGCGTCGGCACTCGGCGACGGCCAGTAGCCCTTGGAGACCACCACCGCCGTCGACGCCACCGACACTGTCTCGTTTGCACTCGGCGCGTGCACAATGCACTCTTTTTCGTCGTCGCAGTACGTGGCAAGCGAGTGGCAGCCGCTGCCGTCCGCCTGCACCTTGCCCCAGAACCGCGGCGAGCACCGGCAGAGCGTCCGGTGGTAGTAAGTCGCGTCCACGTGGATCTGCGCCCGCGAGTGCGGCGCAGTCAGGCCCGGGCACACAAAGTTGCCGTCGACTGTCCCCTGCACAACCGTCGTCCAGTCCGGCTGCAGAAACGTTGGCAACTCCGCGCCTAACTTCATCTGCATGTCCATGCCACGCAAGCCGAGAAACTGCAAGTTCGTCTCCAGCGCCGGCCCGTACACTGCCGGCAGGCTTCCGCTAAGCGCGTTGTTGCTCAGATCCAAAAACTCGAGCGAGAACGGAAGCGTAAACGAAAAGAACGTTGTCGACTGCGGCAGCGGCCCGCCCAGATTGTTGCCCTGGAGGTCCAGGTGTGAGATGCCTGGAAATACTTCGAAAATCGTCGGCATGAGTGAGCCAGAGAGTCCGATCTGCGCCAGTGCAAGCGTTTTGAGCCTCGCATACCCGGTTTGCAAGCCCTGTACACATGAGAGCAGCGCAGATTCCACACCAATGTCCGAGGCAATGAGCATGGACAAGATGTCACCCATGCGAAGCCGCCTACCCCCGCTCAGCGGTCGTATCGGGTTGCCACTCACATCCAGAAACGTCATCAGCGAGGTATACGCACACTGCGTCACCTTGTTGTCCTCGACGACCACGTCGAGGTAGACCAAGGGCGGAAGCCATGTGAGTCTGTTGCCCCGGAGCGACACTTGTCGAAGCTTTGGTATCGTGTACAGCGTCATGGAGCGGTCAATGGCGGTAAACTCATTGTCGGCGAGGTTAAGGAGCTCCAGCTGGCCCATATTACCGATCTCGGCCGGAATCGTCCCGAACAACTTGTTGTCGCTCAGCACCAGCTCGGACAAGTTGCTTGCCAACCCCACAGCGGCTGGAATAGTGCCGTAAAACCTATTACTGGCCAAGTTGAGCCTTGCGAGCTTGCTGTAGGCTGGAAAGAGGACGTCAACGCCGCCAGAGAGCATGTTGCCCGCCAGCGTGATGTTAACCGGAAAGTACGAGGACGCGACGTAGCCGATCGTTGGCGGCAGCGTGCCCTCCAGCTGGTTGTGCGACAAGTCGAGTGAGACGTAGTACTGGTACGGGAGAAAGGCGTCCGGAATGCTCCCGTTCAGCTTGTTCTGTGAGAGGTCCAGGAGCGCAAACTTGCGCGCAAAGAGCGACGGCGGTATCGTTCCCTCGAGCGCGTTGCAGCGCAGCACGAGGCTGGTGAGATTGCCAGCATGCGAGAGCCACTCGGGAATGGTCCCGGTCAGCGTATTGTCACTAAGGATTAGACTAAACACCGAGCCCGTCAACGCGGCGGCCTCGTCCGGGATCGGTCCAACGAGGTTGACTGCCGCAAGGGCGAGTACCTGTAGTTGCTTCATCGAGGCCAGAAACAGCGGCAGCGGCTGAGGCTCGAGGTTCAAGTTACTAAGGTAGAGCTGAAGCAGTGCAGGCATCGACGCCAGGCACTGGGGTAGTGTCCCGGTGATGTTCTCGTTGAGTACAGCCAGCGTCACCAGATGCGGCATCTGGCAGAGCGAGTCCTCAATCAGCTGCAGCTTCCCGTTGAGGTTGTTGTCCGAGAACAATACGTTCTCCACCACACCTACCGTAGCGTTTGGCCCGTCGTATGCACACTCCAACCCGTACCACGCCCGACACGGCGAGGTGCCTGGAATGCAGCACGGGTCGCGGCCCTCCAGCCATCCGTACGATAGCGCCCACTCTGGCCCGCCAAAGTCGTAAAAGAACCGCTGCAACAGCTCGTATGAGCCGCCTGCCTCTCCGCCGACCACTCCCGCCGCTCTCGCCTGTCTCCGTCCAGCTGCCCGAGCCTCCTCCAAAGCCGCCGCCTGCATCGCCGACACCTGCGCCTCGCGCACGCGCATGTGCGCCTCGACCTCAGCCGCATGCACCCGCCGCCCCGCCTCGTCCTCGGCGGACCAGCCCTCGCCCGACCCAGCATACACTGGCCACACCCCGGTGTCGGCCTGTCCTACCCAGCCGCCTTTGGCCGCGCCTGTGTCCCCCGTCACGCCTTTACCGGCCACCACCACCGCCAGCGCCACACTCACCACCACCCCCACCAAACTCACCACCCCCACCACGCCACCCGCCCCGCCCACGCCTCTTCTCCTGCTCCCTCCTCCTGCCGCCGGCATCCAGATCCAGGCCGCCAAGTACGACAAGTGCACCACCTACCACCGTCCCGTCCTACCGCCGCCCCGTCCTGCCGCCGCCCCGTCCCCGGCCACCCGTCCTTGCCGTCCCGTGCCTGGTGCCGGGTGATCACGTGTGGCCGCACCTCACCCACCACCACCACCACCACCACCACCACCACCACCACCACCACCACCACCACCACACTCTCCCTCCTCCTCCTCCCCTCCCATGCCATCCCCCCTTCCCCTCCCCCTCCTCCTCGTCACATTGGCCCTCACCGTGGCCCTCGCCGTAGCCACGCCCGCCCGCAAGCCCCCGCTCCCACCACACCTCGCCCACGCCGCGCCGCACCTTGCTACTGCTGCTGCTGCTGCTACTGCTGCTACTGCTGCCACGCCTCGCCATGCTGTCCGCGCCGTGTCGGCAGGCCCACGGTCTGCGGCGCCACCACCGCCTGGTCCGGACTCTCTTTGCTATGACGACGTCGTGGTCGTCCCGCCGCCGCCTGAGTGGCGCAACGTGACGTCGCTGGACTCGCGCGCGGCGCTGCTGCGGCTGTACGCCGAGCTCGACGGGCCGAACTGGTACGACAACTCGGGGTGGAACCAGCCGGACTCGGACCCATGCTGCTACCTCATTGCCGACGGCAGCTGTGTCTCGTGGTTTGGTGTACAGTGCTACAACATCACCATCCTCGCACCCAATCTCAAGTACGATCCGCCGTTTGTGGTCGACGGCATCTTCATCAACGCCAACGGGCTCAAGGGCGAGCTGACTTCCACCATCTGCGAGATCTCGTGGTTCCTCAACGAGCTGGCACTCGTCGACATGCCCATCACCGGCAGCCTCCCGTCGTGCATCGCCCACTTGCCCAACCTGCACTTCCTCTACGTCTCGAGTCTCCACTTTGACCCGGCCCCGCTCCCGCCCTGGATCGGTAGTATGCACCTGATCGGCCTCTCGCTCGCGTCCAACAGCTTTTACGGGCCTATTCCTCACGAGTACGAAGCGCTTGCCCAGACTGCACTCAACGTGTTTGACCTCTCAGGCAACAACATCAACGGGACTTTGCCGGCATGGATTGATGACCTCCGCTGCGTCTCACTCATCTCGCTCCGCTCCAATGATCTCACTGGCGGCATCCGCGGCGGCATCTTTCGTGCTCCGTTCATTGCGCTTGTCGACTTTTCGCAGAACATGCTCACGGGGACGGTGCCCGACACCTTTTCGGCCACCTCATTTCTCGGCACGCTTGATCTCTCGTTCAACTCGCTCAACGGATCCATCCCACCGTCGCTCGGCGTTGCACTCCAGGCCACGGCGATGAATGTGACTCTCACCGAGAACAACCTTGTCTCGGGTCTGGACGTCCTGTTCTTGCCCGGCTCGCGAGCAGTCACTATCGACGTCTCGGCCAACGACCTCCGCGGCTCGCTGCCGCACCACATGGACAACGCCGTCAACCTGACTTCGCTCATTCTGCGAGCCAACGCGCTCAATGGCACCATCCCTTCCTGTCTAGGCAAGCTGCACAAGCTCCGTGTCCTCGACCTTTCCGACAATGTGTTCTCGGCCATTGATCCAAACTGGCGCATCTACGACATGAACTCGCTCGATTTTCTCTCGCTCCGGCACAACATGCTCTCCACCGCCCCGCCACTTTTCTTTCTCAACGCTGGGCGCGACGCAAATGGCAACCTATTTTGCTCGTGGGTCTCGCCGCTCACCTTTGTCGACCTCTCGTCCAACCCGTTCTCCACTTTCGGCGCTCCGAGCCCGGTCTCCACTCGCGGCGGGGAGTGGCAGGCCGTCTGGGACGATGCGGTGGCTGTCCGCGGCGTCGGCGCGCTCCCGCATGTCATGGGCGCTGCCGAGCCGTTCATCACAGCCTCGCGGCACAACGGTATGTACACCATTTCCGAGCTCTTCCAAAGCCTCGTTGTCTCGTCGCTCCCCAACTCGCAGACACTAGTCTCTTGCATCCTCACTGCCGGCGCAGTCAACAACCGCCTGCAGACTCTGGTCCTCTCTGACCTCGGTATCGAGGGCGAGTTGCCGTCGCTCCTCTTCTCGGCCTTTCCCTCGCTCTCGCATCTCGACCTCTCGCACAACCGCATTTCGTCCAAGCTCCCGTCGTCGTCGGTCGTCTATCCGTTCTACCTCCCATACCCGCTCGAGTACCTCAATCTGGCGAACAACAGCCTGACGGGCGACATTCCCCTCATCTTTGGCCTTGCGCTAGAGTCGAACCTGCGCTACTTTTCGCTGGTCAACAACAACATGACCGCCGAGTCGGGTCAACTCCCGTCGTTCCTTGTCCCGACCTATGACTCCCAGCTCGACTTTACCGACCAGCACTACTACTGCCCGTCGATCCAGGATCAGAACCTTCGGTCAACGGTTCTCGTCGACCCAACATACTATCGGCGGTCGCTCTGCCGCTGCGCCCAAGGTTACTTTGGTCGCGTTTTAGAGGATGGCAGCGGGTGCAAACCGACGTACTCATACTGTCAGAACTCGCGTGAGTGTGTCCTTCGCAGCAACGCCGCCTTTTCCAACGTTGTGGCGCCGCTCCGTGGCTACTGGCCGGCGCCCGCGCTTGACAACGCCACACTCTTTATCCGTTGCTCCGACGTGCCGCAGCTCGATGACACCATTGCGTGCAACCCGCTCGGACCCAACGACCAGCGGAGCGCCCTTGATGAGTTTGCCAAAGGCGTGCAGTGCAAGCCGCGGCCCGACGGCCCGGGCCTCTCGTGCAGCCCGCCTACAAGCGTCTGCCGACCGGGCTCCGAGGGCCGGCTCTGCTCGGTCTGCTCCGACGACTACTACATGTCTCCCCAGGGCTGCATCCCGTGCCCGCTCAGCCACCAGTCACTGGGGTGGACGGTCATTTCGATCCTGGCCACCTTGATTGTGGTTGTCGTTGCCCTCCAGCTCCGTTCCCAAGAGACTTCCGGCCATCGCCTCAAACTTCGCAGGCAGTTCCATGAGGCACGGTCGATCCGCGGCTTCTTCTCGACTTTTTGGCCCGAAATGACGCAGGTCTTTCTCCTCTGGGTATTGATTCCGGTTGCACTCACGCCGTACGACCTCGACGGCAACGCGTCAGCGTTCATCTACTCGAGTGTCTTTTTCTACATGATATACTCGCTCCTGCGCAAGTCAATTCCGCTCGATCGCGCCGCGCGGCATGCCGCCGAGCGTGAGACCCGCACACGCTCGAGCGACATGCGGGCCCCGCTTCTCGGCTCGCTCAACGCGCCACGTGCAGGCGGTTCGGCCCGCTCGTCGGCGGCGGACCCGAACAAGTCCATGGGTGGTTTCCTCGGCGACACGCCTGTCCGCGACGTCCAGCAAGTTCTCGCCGTCAGTCAAGGTCTCTTCAAGAGCTTTCTTGTCTTCTTCCAGACGCTGGCGGTCATTACCGGGACTGTTCTCCCGCCGACGGAAACGCTCTCGTACCTGGTCGAGTTCAACAACCTCGTCATCACCTCGCTCCGCAACAAGTGCCGCTTTCCGTCGTTCCACTACCAGTCTGGCTTTGCCGTCATCATGTGGGTGCCGGTTGTCGTCGCCATCCTCCTCCTCATCGCGCGATGCGTCTCGTCGCTCTGGTTTGCAGTGGGCAAGCTTCGTGAGGCCTGGTCAGCCCGCGGCTCGACCGACGCGTCGACCCGCCGGAACGTCGCGTCGGCGCGGCAGGCGATGCGGGCAAGTGCCATGGGTCAGACCCTTTTCTCCACTGGTGTCCTCACCTTGTACATCCTCTACTTTCCGCTCCTGGTCTCGTACTTCTCGCTGTTTTCATGCTCGTCCGACCCTCTTACTGGTGTGAGCTACCTCCGCGCCGCGCCGTACATTCGCTGCTGGGGTGGTGACGTCTGGTTGAGTATGATCATTGTGGGAAGCACGCTTATGGGCGTTTACACCCTCGCCCTGTTTGCCATCTTCGGCCGCTTCCAGCGCCACAAGCGCCTCGGCCGCCTCAACCACATCGACGTCCGCACCAAGTACTCGATCCTGTACGACTCGTACCGGCCAGGCGCCGCCGGCTTTGAACTCATTCTCACCGCCCGCCGCATTGCCATTGCTGCCGTCGTAGGTGTTGCACCGGTCACCTCGGCGTTCACCGCCGTCAACGTCGTTTTCATTCTTGCCGGTGCCCTCGGCATCCAAGGCTGGCTCGCGCCGTTCAACACCTCGCTCGGCAACCTGATGGAGACCATTTCGCTTGTTGCTCTCCTCTGCATCTACATTCTCTCGCGCTCCATTCTGCGCCTCTTCTCGTCGAACGATACTGCAGCTGTTGACCTTGACGGCAACGTGGAGGTCAACACCCTTGTGTCTCTTGTCCAGTCGCTCTCGTTCTTCACCATCCTCCTGTACTGGTTCTTTGGCACGCTGCCCTTCCTCCGACTCATTCCCTTTATTCGCAAGCGCAACCTGCGCATCATGCGCCGCCTCGGCCTCGGCGTCCACTATGACTCGAACGCTGCGTCGCCAGCGCTCCGTTCCGGCGCCACTGTCGTCGGCGCAGGCATCCGTAACTCGTACCACGCCGCCACCGACGAAGCTGCCAGCAGCGAGCTTGGTGACGTCAACGGCATGCCTGTTGTCGTGGCCAAGTCTGCTGTGGACACCGAGCGTATCCGAGAACTTGAAGCCGCGCTCGATGCAGAGCGCAAGGCTGCCTTTAAGCGCGCCATTCACCATGAGGCCGAGCTAACTGTACTTCGCAATCGCCTCGCCCAAGCTGATGTTGGTGCTGTCGACAGCGACGGCGCGGCTGCCAGCAGCAGTGTCTGATGCGGCGCCGTAGTTGTAGAATACCGAGAGCTCCAAGTCGTGGAGTGAGGCAACGACAAGATCGATGAGCGTGTCGCCGTCCATGTCTGCAGCAATGACGCTCTGCGGAAACTTGGTGGCGAGTAAAATGGTCTCTGCAGTCACAAAGGTGCCCGGTATGGCGAGCGCGCGGAACCAGCCGAGCTTGTTGTTCCACGGCGAGATGGTGACAAGATCGAGGCGGCCGTCAGCGTCGAGGTCGGCTTCTCGGTGGCGTGAACCCGTGGACGGTGATGTGCTCAAACCTACGGTTTGGCCTGTGGCGGGAGTGGTGCAGGGCGCGAGGGTGGGTGCGATGCCAGAGTGTCAAGAGCAAGGGGTGGCGGGGCGCTGCCGATGATGCGGACGTCCGAGCCGCCAGCCTCGCCAAAGTGGTAAAAGTCGCTGGGCGACGACGCGCGGCGTCTGCGAATGACGACGGCCGCGATGACGGCGACAATGCAGAGAAGAAGACCACCACCAGCAGCACCGTACATCCACATTGGCTGATCTAGAATCGGAGACGGCGACGGCGAGTTGGACGGTGCAATCTGCCCGGCCGAGACTGAGGAGGAGGCTGTCGAGACAGCAGGAGGCGGCGGCGTAGGTGGTGACGGAGATGGTGATGGTGGTGTAGGCGATGGGGGAAGAGGAGAGGGAGAGGGAGAGGGAGAGGGAGGGGGTGGCGACATGAGTGGTGTGCCAGGTGGTGGCGATGGCGGTGGCGGCGATGGCGATGGCGATGGTGGCGGCGGCGATGGCGATGGCGATGGCGGTGGCGACATGGGTGGGGTGCCAGGTGGTGGCGATGGCGGTGGCGGCGATGGCGATGGCGGTGGCGGCGATGGCGGTGGCGGCGATGGCGGTGGCGGCGATGGCGATGGCGATGGCGGCGGCGGCGGGCTTGTGCACGAGCCGGTGCACGAGCCGGCAAACGAGACGGGGACAACACCCGAGAGCTGCGCAAGCGCAATGGTCTGCGAGGGAAGAATGTGCGGCGAGTGGAGCGAGAGCGTGACGCCGACCGAAGAGCCGACGGTGCCGGACCAGGCGATCTCACCAACGACAACTGGGCTCGAGCCCGGGACAGTTGAGGCGGCTGGCAGCGAAAACGAAGATGTTGCGGACTCGCCGTCGATTGAAGCGACGACCACGAGGTCGTAGTACGACGGGGCGAGCCCGATCGAGTCGACGGTGACCGCCAGCCGGAGGCAGGGCGAAGGAGAGGGTGAGCTGCACGGGTCAGCGTCGACGTTGGAGATGACAAAGCGGTAGCCGAGCTCGGTGACGGCGGCGAGGGCGTTTGCGCCGCGGCCGTCGTCTGCGCTCGGATTCTCAAACAGCCAGTGATACAGGAGCCACGAGAAGCGCAGCGACTGGGCCGACGGCAGGAACGGGTGGCCCGAGTACGAGTTGCGGAAAATGTTGGGCTGGACCGAGGGCTGGACCTCGCCGCCCATGGGCGCGACGAGGTAGCGGTCGGCGATGCCGCGGGCCGCCATGCGATCGTAAGTGTACCAGCTCTGCGGGTTCGAGGCCGAGTACGTGCCAACGCCAAAGTTGTCATCGTGCCAGCCGAGCGAGGTCGACGGAATGAGTGGCGGCGGGTCCGATGCCTGCCACTGATCGAGCTGGTCGGAGGAGACGACGACACGGGTGGTCGCAAAGGCGGAGTCGTAGGCCTGCCACACAGCGAGCTGTGTGGCCTGCGGAGCCATCTGGGCTGTGTTTGGGTAAGTGTGCCACTCACCCCAGTAGCCGAGCAGGCCAACCATGATAAAGGCGATGCGGCTGTCGCCATCGTACCGCGCGCCCATGGCAGCGATGGCGCCGGTCATGGCGTCGACCAGGCGCTGATTGCCGTAGTCGGGCGACTGCCCGCCGCCGTACTCCGAGTAGGGAGTAAAGGTGACCGGCGACGGCGGCGAGAGGAGATAGTCCGGCACGGCGGTCTCGTACCCGCCGCCTGCTGCGCAGCAGTCTGGGTAGTCGAGATAGAGGCGGAAGACGAGCTGGTTGCCTCGCCCGGCGGCATCGGCCAGCAGCCCGTCGAGGACCGACCACTGGTACACACCCTCGCCCACCACCACGTCCTTCAGCGCCAGGTACGAGTACTCCATCGAGTGCGGGAACGAGTACCGCCCGACTCCACTCCCGCGTGCGTACGGAAGGAAGCCCACCAGCGCGTTGCCGGCCGTCACTCCCGTGTTGCTCGCCGTTGACGGTGCCGCCGTGTCGCACGCCGCCTGCGCCCCGCTGCAGCCAGCCACCACAGCCACCCACACAGCCACAGCCACAGCCACCACTCTGCCCATCTTCAGAGACATGGGACAGGAGAGGTGTATGGCAGGATGGGGGAGGGGGGGGAGGGGGGAGGTGGTGAGGTGGGAGTGCGGTGCCGGAGGGGGAAACGTTGCCACACGCCAATCCTTTTTTTTTTCGGAAGGGATTGGAGAGAGTGAGAAAGAAGGAGGCCGCACGGATGGCCTGTGGCCTGATGGTTGGCTTGCGGCAAGGGGGAGGGATGATGAGAGAGGGGGGAGGAGGAGGAAAAGATGTATGGCTGCTTGGGGCTCGGTGGGTGGAGAGAGTAGCGGCGAAGGGGCGCTCGGGTGATCTGGGCAAGAGACGACTTTTTCTCCCAAAATTCGAAATGTGCAGCTCGCGTGTGGGAAAGAGAGAGAGCGGCTGCTCATTGGCCCAGATGGCTGCGATGGAATGAAGGGGAGAAATGATGAATGTGTGTGTGGAGGGGGGGCGGAGTCATGCAGCCGTCGCAACCAACGTTGCATGCGATAAGAGAACAGGAGCAGAGCTGGTCCAGAGGCAAGAAAATTTGTGCCGCGCCCCTCCCCCCCCCCACCTCATCCCCATTCCGCCAAAAGCCTCCGCGAGCGGCTGAGCCAGCGCTCTTCCCCCCGGCGAGCCACCTCTCCATGCCCCGGCTCCCCATCCCAGCCACCATGAACAAGGACAAGCGGTTCCCTTCGACCATGGTGTGGACCCCGATTCCCCTCATTACGTACGCTCTCCCTCCTCTCCCCCTCACCTTCCCCCCTCTAGCCCACATTCACCGCACCCACTCACCACCACCCCCACTACAGTTGGCTCCTTCCCTTCATCGGGCACATGGGCCTGACAGACTCTGAGGGGACGATCTTCGACTTTGCCGGTCCGTACACCATCAACGTCTCCAAGCGGACGACGGCGTTCGGCCCACCGGCAAAGGTGGCGCCCATGTTTGAGTACATGGGCGGTGACGGCGGAAGCGAGAGCCGGAGCCTGTGGGACTCTGGCGTGGCAGCCGGCTCGGAGGAGTTCCGCCATCGCATGCACAACCTCATCTGCAACAACTGCCACGACCACGTCGCCGAGTGCCTCAACGTCATGCGCTATCCGGTCCCGGCCTGGGCTTGGGCCCCGCGGTGGGGCATGATCTCCGTCTGGCTGTACATGCTCCTCCATGGCAGGTACACCTCGTGGTCCGCCATCGTCAAGACCTACCTCCCGGCCCTGGTCCTCTGGTCGATCATTCTCGGCTTCATGTACATGCCGTTCTGGCTCTCCCGTACCGACGAGTGACCGCTTGCTCCTCCGCCTCTACCCGCGGGTGATCCGATGCCAGCCGAGGACGGTGTGGACGTACTCGAGGTCGACCGCCGCAAACGGAGTCTTGCACAGCGGGCAAACGTTCTCGGTGCATCGCGAGTTGAGCACCACCGCCATGCACCCGAGATGGACGGTGTGGACACAGTCGGTGAGCGCGTACAGCGCACGCTCGGCAGCGGTCTCCACCCCGACTACCGCTGCGCCCGCCGGCGAGACGATGCACCTCGCCTCGGCGTGGTCGTCCCAGAGGTCGACGTCGCGCGAGAGCCCGTGCGCCACAAAGGCAGCGATCGACGCTCCGGCCCGCGTCGACACAAAGTAGTCGGGAATCGGCGCCGGGTGCGCCAGCGGGAGCAGGCAGGTGGCACACACCGGGGCAGAGCCATGCCACTCGGCAGCAGGCACCGCAGGCAGCTGCGACACAATCCGCGAGACCCGCGCCTGGAGCTCGGTTGCAAGCGTAGGCCCGGCTGTCGCCGCCTCCCGCCCCGGCTCGTCTTGCGGGCTCTCCGACTTGGGCGTCCCGTCGTCAAGCATGTCTAGCAGTTCAAGCGGCGGCGGCGCCAAGCGCGGCGCGGCGCCATTGGCGTCCAGCACGCTCTGCACCTCGGCCGATGCTGCCGAGTACGCCATGACGACAGCCGCGTCGGGCGCCGCCCGCGTCCGTATCATCACTCCGGCCACCTCGATCTCGGGCGACGCAAAAACCGCAAAAACCTCCCGCCGCCGCGCGGGCATGAGGTCGAGGAAGCCGCCGCCGATCACGCCCTGGGCGTGGAGCCGCGCCACCGACGCAGCGCCGCGGACCAGGCTCGCCGCCGCGGCCTCGACGCTGGCAAGCACCGCCTCCTCATCAGGCCCCCATGGTCTGTGCGAGACAAGCGCGTCGACCGCCTGCCGCTTGCCCACCGTCCGCGACGCCGCCAGCCCACGCGCCGTGGCCAGCCGCCGGTACGCCGCGTACACGTACGGCCGCGCGAGCTGACGGATCCGCTCGCGCAGCCGCTCGGCTGCCGCGGCCGAGCCCTGCGCACACTCTGCACACAGAAACGTCTCCGGCACATGCCGTCCGCCCGGCAGCCCTACACATGCCATGTGTTTCCACGTCCCACATTCGTCGCATGCAATCGCCGGTCCGTCAATCCGCTGCTGCGGCTTGCACGAGCACGTCAGCTGGCCCGTCGCCGCCGGCAGCCGGCCTGCAGCCGGTGATCGTGGTGCGGCTGGTGATTGCGCATCTGCAGACGTGAGCGGCGGCGATGGATGCACCGCCTCGCCCGACTGCTCAGCCACCGGCGAAGCCTCGCCCAGTTGCCCGGCTGCCGTCGGTGCCTCGCCCGGCGAAGCCTCGCCCAGTTGCCCGGCTGCCGTCGGTGCCTCGCCCGGCGAAGCCTCGCCCAGTTGCCCGGCTGCCGTCGGTGCCTCGCCCGGCGAAGCCTCGCCCAGTTGCCCGGCTGCCGTCGGTGCCTCGCCCGGCTCGCGCTTGCCGGTCGGAGTTTCACGCCCTTTTTCGGCCGCCGGTGATCGCTCGCTGGTTGATCGCGCGCCGGACTGGTCGCCTTCCACAGCGAGTTGAACAGGCGTTGCAGCGCGTGATGGTGCTGCCGGAGCAGGAGGAGCAGTCATAGCCAAGACATGGTTGAGCCATCGAGTGTGGGCGCGGCGGGTGGACCTGGGCGCGTAAACAGGCTCCCCCGGCGGGGACAACTCGAGCGTAGCGTGATCACTTTTCTGAGTCTTCGGGCACCTGAATCCACAATGTTTTTTAGCCAGGCTGACTCCCCCTATCGCCACCGGCTCTGCTCGCCGCTTGCGCCTACGCGTGTGTGGGCTTCCCGAGATGGCTGCAGGAGGCGGAGGCGGTGGTGGCGGGCTGGGTCTATGACTTGGATCCATCGGTAGAGGGGGGGGGGGGGGGGACAAGTGTGATAGGGGGCGGTGTGTACGGCGGCGCTGGGTGAGGCGGCGGGCGGGTGGGCCGAGCTGCGAGTTGGGATCACCGATCAGCGGACGACGAGCGAGGCCAGGAGCTGCTGGATGGAGGCATCATTGCGGATGATGGTGGCCTTGAGGGCAAGATTCTTGGCGAGCTGATTCTTGATGGCCTCGTCAACCTGGCGGAGCTTGGCCTCCAAGGGCTCGAGCTCTGCGGCGGCGGCCTTGCGGTGCTTGGCGAGGGCGGCCTTGTGCGACTCGGCGTCTGCGACGTAGCCGTTGAGCTCGCGGGTCATCGACGCCATGTCTTCCTGCACGTAGTCCATCAGCTGGCCGAGCTTGGTGACCTGCGGCGCGGCGTGCTGCAGAGCATCGCAGAGCTCGCCAAGCTCGCGGGCGCCTACGGCTGGTGCGCTGGCAGCCGAGCCTGCCGAGCCGCCGGCCGAGCCTCCGGCGCGCTTCTTCTTGAGAATGATACCCGTTGAGCCCGAGGCCTGCGTCGTCTCGGCCTGCTTGGCCTCAACAGCCTGGATCTTGGCCTGAGCCGACTTGAGCTGCGCCACAAGCTTCCCGTCGGGGGCCGAGCTAGCTGCTGCCGGCCGCGAGCTGCCACCGGCCCCGCCGACGGCCATAAAGTCTTCGTCGTCGCCCGAGTCGTCGTCGCGGATGATGGCTTTGTTGACGACAGTGCGGTCGGCGCCAGAGCCCGGGCGCCCCCGTCCACCGGTGCGCGCCTTGGGCGGCCCCGTTCTCGTCGTCGCCCGGATGATTGGCTGCTGCCGAGTGGCTGGCTCGACTGGTGCGGCAGCTGGCTGCTCTGCAGGCGGCGCTGCCGCCGCCGCCAGCTCGGGACCACGGCTCGCCTCGTTCTGATCCGCCTGCGCCGGCTCGGCCGGCACTGCCTGAACTTGCTTCGGCCGCTGGCGCTTGCCGCGTGCTGACGACGGACGCGCCGGGCGCTTGGCTGGCTCTGCAGGTTCTGCGGGCGGGGCCTGCGGCTCGGCCTCGGGCGCAGGTGCGGGCGCCTTTGCCTTTGCCTTTGCCTTGTCCTTACCCTTGGCTTTCGCCGCTCCACGCTCGGGCATGTGCTCACCGGCGCGGACACGGCGTACGGCATCGGGCATGTCGACCGACTTTGAGACGGCAGCCTTGGCCAGCATGGTGAGGAAGATGTTGGTCCGCTTGGGCTCGAGGCCGGCCACGATCTTCTTTGGCTTGACCGGGACGTTCATGTCAAGGGCGATGCCCACAACATCGATGACCTTTGTCAGAAAGGCGATCTTGTCAGCCTTGCCCTTGATATTGCTCACATCGAGCTCTGCCGGCTCAAACAGGCCGTCGGCAAAGTGCCGCTTGGCCACCAGCGCCACCACCACGTCGTGCAGAAAGCGGAACGGCGGACGAGCGAGCACCTTTTCATCCATAGCAGGCGTCTGTGCAGGCGAAGCATGTGTGTGTGATTGTGAATGTGTGTGTGTGCGTGCGCGGGCAAGGGACGGGGAGGTGGCTGTGGTGTGAGTGTGTGTGTGTGCGGTGGCTGGGTAGGTGGTGGTGGTTTGGCGCGCAGGCGGTGGCTGGGGG